TCGTGCTTAGTGGGCCATTTGGAGCAGTGCTTGTGTCCCCTTCCCGCTGCCTCGTGTCCCCGTGCTCTGCCCGCTGCATTCGCGTCCCTTCAGCCACTTCGGAGCGCGCCGGAGCCCCCACGCGTGTCCACCAGAGGGAGCCAACGAGCCACGAATCGGCACCGCCGCCGACCATGGGAGCCGGGCCAAGAGGCGCATGGAGCTGCCACCCCCCGTATGGCTGTCCCATCGGAACCCCACCTCCAGCTGCCCATATATCCAGGGAGAAACCCCTTGAATCTGCTCCAAATGTGCCTGAGCAGCCCCGGTTCGCATCTCTGGTTATAGGCGTTCTCCAAATCCAAATTGTTGCCTGGCGTTACAACCGAGCCCAGGGAAGCAGCTCCTCTCCCAGCACCGTTAGGGGCTGTAATTAGCGTCAGCTGATGCAGACACAAAGCAGAACGGGAGGGTTGGGAAGGATGCTCCTGGTGCTCTCCCAGCAGCTCCCATGTGCTCACAGGTTCCCAGGCTCTGTGAGTAGGGTGGGAATAGCCAGCAGATGGGAGCGGGGGGAAAAGCAGAGGAGAAACCTCACCGGTGATGCTGCACTGTGCCAGAGGAAAATCTCCCTCATTCGCTGAAGATTTGCTCGGTTATTTACAGCCTGGCACTTGTGGCAGCCACATGGGGTGGGATTCACAGTGGTCCCGTGTGAATTGGGAGCTTTATTTTGGCTGAACACAAGCGGGTGGCATCGGGCTGCCGCTCAGGCCTGCTGCCATCAGCCTGGCACAGCCAGGAAGGAAATCCCATCCAAGTACATGGATCACACATGTCCTCAGCACTCTCCTCTGGAGCTGCTGGCAAGCAAAAAAAGTCCAGCCTGGCCCCTTCCCAGCACCATCTGTGGGGAGATTCCGGGACTGAAGGAATGGGCTGGGGGCTGTAGGAATGGGCAATAGGGCAGGGTATGGTTGCTGCCTCCATGCTGGAAGAGGAGGTGGCAGGATGGGGTGACCAGCTGAATATATTTCCTTTGCAGCCAACAGGTGGAAGCTGTGCTCCAAGCATCTCCTCCAGCCTGTGGGAGCTTCATTCCCTCATCTACCAGAAGCCACAGCACTACCATTCCTGCTGCTGCAGTTTGGGGCTGGCAGTGATGCTGTGCACCTGGCCATCACCCTCTTGCATGGAGTAACCTGATGGGGCTGCTGAGGTCTGATTTGCCCATGAGATGTAGGATTGGGCCTACCCTGTGCTACAGGTGGGATGCTCCATTGATTATTCTGCATCCTCTGAGTGTGGAAATCAGGCTGAGAGCTTCTAATCTCTATCCACTTGGACAGAATTACCTCCCTAATCTTCCATCCCTTGGGTGTCCCCAAGGCTCAGCTAACACCTGGAGCTGCCTGGGGTCTGCAGTGCCCCAGAGTGGATTCCATGTGGACATATTAACATGCATGGGTTCATTGAGCCTGTTAGCATCTCCTAACATAGAATCATTAAGTTTGGAACAGACCTTGAAAATCACGACGTCCAACCACCAGCCCACCCCCACCACACCCACTGACCACATCCCTCAGTGCCACATCCACACGGTTCACGAACACCTCCAGGGCTGATGACTCCATCACCTCCCCGGGCAGCCTGTGCCAGTGCCCCACTGCTCCTTCTGAGAAGTTGCAGGGCTGGGCTGTGTGGGACCCCACCTCCACCATCCCCACATCCCTGTCCCTCAGCCTGGCCATGTGCCGGAGCAGGGTGCACACAGAGATGCTCTGCAGAAGGCTTCAGGGGCGCACACAGACCCCGCTGTTCACTCCTTTCTCTCTGGCTTCTGTCCCTGCTTGCTGCCGTGCTGTGCTTCGTGGTGATGTTGTTGCTCTTTATGGCTGGTGGGGCTGATCTTGAGTGAGTCATTATGTGGCAAATGGGATCCAATCACAGCAACATTATTTCCTTGCCCGGTGTTCTTTGCAAATGAGATTTTGCAGAACTCGAAGCGTTTTGTTTTTTTTTTTTCTTCCTTCCAGCCAAAGGCCTTTTCCCAGCCCCATTTAAAAGCTCACAAATTGGGTGTGGGATAGAATGAATATTTACCACGGGGCTCACAGGGCAGTGAGCTCATAAACACGCTGGCAATCAATCCTGGCGGAGCAGCCGAACCTGGAGTGCGCCAGTGCACGCAGAGCTGCTGTGAGTGAGGGATGGGGAGAGGCCATCCCTGCTCCCCAGTGCTCATTTCTCTGCTTTGGTGACTCACTCGGGAGAAGGTTTAGAAAGGAATAAATAGAGCCCATAAAGTGTCTTGCTGATGCCTGGGAGGATGCCCCGAGTCTGTGCTCTGTTTCAGTGATCCAGAAGAGGTCTTGCTGGATCTGAGTGATCCCCAAAATGCTGTGGGTTGGGCAGCACATTCTTGGCTGATGGGATGCTCTCTGGGGTCAGAACCAAGACCTCTTTGCCAAGAGCAGCTCTAGGGCAGGAGATGGGGTTCCATCCTGGTGTCCTGCGGTGTCATGGGCTTTCTCCCTGGGAGGCCCTTTCCTGCCCAAGGCTGAGAGCATCCCCAGGTCCTGATGGAGCCCTGTAAAAGCTCTGCACTCCTGCCAGGTGCAAAGGCACTTGTCTGTGCCGGCCCTGATTAGCAGAATGATGGTTGCCATGGAGCCCCAATTCCTGCTCTGCACCCCAGCAGACCCAGGGGGAGGCACATGTGGAGTAGAGGCCAATTGCACTCTTCCCAGAAAGCTGATTGCTTCTATCCTAGCAGACATATAAATGAGCCTTTCATTCATTTCCTTTCTCCTTTCAGCCCGGTTTGTGGGGAAAAAAAAGAAATGCCCCCTCCTGGGATCTCACAGATGAGCTGGGAGGGGGCTCACAGGGAGATCTGGGGCAGAGCATCCCGGCTACCAACCTGCATCCCGTAGGATCCCTCATCACTTCAGAGCTTACAGTGTCCCCTGGCGGTCACGGGGACAAGCCAGAACAGATGCTCCTTAATAATTTTATCAATGACATTGACAGCGTGAAGCCAGCAAGAAGTGAGCCAGGCAGGGTTTAGGAAATAAAGTGCCCGATGAGGGGAATGGGATGAAGGGCCGTGCCCCATACGCAGCTCCTCCTCTTTATGGAGCAGTAATGGAAAAGGAGTTGCCATCTTCTAATGATTTCATTTATCAGAAAATTGAAAAGTGGAATGGATTGCTCTGAAGTGCTGTTGGGCCCACAGGGGATGTGTAGCAAGAAACAGATGTTGAGGGATAAAAATGGGAAGCAGCGTGCAGTTGTTGGGAGGCATGAACCCTTCCCAAGAGCCATGGTGGTGGAGAGGTTTTCAGGAGCTCTCCTTCCTTGAGGCAGCCTCTGTGCCACATGGACTCATCCCAACCTTGTGTGTGGATGGGAAGAACACAGCCTGGGCATCAGTCAGGAGCAGGGAGAGAAACCTGTGCTTCCCCCAAGCCGGCACTGCCCGGGTGCAGGTGCTGAATACAATGAGTTGCGCTGGGGCTCAGCCTGGGTGCAAGAGGTGGCACAGGGCAGGAGACAAAAGGTCTGTCCTGGTAGGTCTGTCCTGCCTGCTCTTTCCCATCTCCTTCTCCAAGATCCCTGCCTCGTCTGCTCAAACCCAGCTCTGCTGGATTCTCTCCCGGCTCCATCCTCTCCATCTTGTGCACAGCCAGGATGGAACCAAGATGATAACACTTTTCAAGGTCCCACCTTGAGTGCTGGGTCCCTGGATCCCTACCAACCCCTTGATATCCTCAAGGGGACAAAAGGATGATGCTGGCAGTGGGTGCATGTCTCTAGCTGTGCAGCCAAAGTGCCATGGAGCCACAGCAGAGCAGAGACCCCCAACTCTGAGCTTCTATGGTGGGGGGACAAGGGGAGACCCCTTGGTCCCTGGAAAATCCTGGCAGCCTTCAGCCTTCAGCCCTGCCTGCCAACTGGAGGCAGCAAAACATTGTGGAGCTGGAGGCAGGAGCAGGAGTCATAGGGGCTGCTGGAGCCACTCCCAGACATGACAACCACATGTTCCAATGGAGCCACCAGGGCATGATTTGGGCTTAGACGTAAGGCTGGGTGATCAGCTGCTCCTCAGGCTGGAAGTTGGGCTGAAACTGAGAAAAGAAGAAAAAAAAAAGAGAAGAAAAGAAAAGAAAAGCACATGTTTTTGGAGAGAGAGGAGCTGCGGGGGGAGAGGGGACAGGCAGCTTGTCATGGTGCACTGGGACATGTTGAACGCATGGGGTGTGTGGGGGGTGTGCGTGTGCACGTGTCCACGTGCCTGCAGAGCGGGGCTGTTACCCTGCAGCCGGTAGGCGCTGATCAGTGCAGAGGACAGGCAGATAGACAGACAGACAGACGGACAAACAGACAGACAAGCTCACAGATAGATAGACAGACGTTCGGACAGGCAGCGGGAGGGTTCCGAGCCCGATGCACAGCGCGAGGCGATGCCGCGATAGCAGCAGTGATGGGTTCCAGCTCGGGCAGCGCTCCGCAGCCGGCGATGGGGAGGACCGAGGGGTTGCACATCTGGGAGCCCGGAGACCTCGAGCAGCCGCTGGCTCCTTCTGCGCCCTCCCTGCAGAATTCCGTCCAACTCCGGCCCCCGCGCCCGCTAGTGTCGGCAGAGCAGCGCTGATCGATGCCTCCTTCACTACGCAAATGGCAAATCAGCGCGTTGTGAAGGCTGCTGGTGGGGATGGAGACGGCCGTGCTGCCCTCCCCCGGGACTCTCTCGAGTCAATGGAGTTTATGACTTTAACGTATTTCCTCTCCCCTCCTGAAGAGCATCTCCTCCGCTGTGCCGCTTTGCCGGCGAGGTTCCAGCCCCCGGTCTGGGTTCTGGGTTTGGGGACGGGAGGAAGCCCCCCGGGAGCCCCTCGCTGACGGAGGAGAGCAGCAGCTGGCGGAGAGGGGCAGCGGGCTGCCGAGAGCGTAGCTCCAAGTGGAAAGCAGGATTCCTTTCTCCTGCCTCTTAAGGCAGCGACGTCTCCATCCCCTCCTTCTTTCCCTCCCCGTCCGACCCCGTCTGATACAGGGGTACTGGGACCTCATCCTGCGTCCGGAGCTTCCCAGCGAGACGTAAGTCCTTCCTGGAGAGGAGAATGAATTTTCCCCTCGGCTATTTTATCTCTCAGCGCCTCTGCACTGGGAGCTGGAGCTGGGGCAATGCATGGCACAGTCTGGGGTTGGCTCTGGGGCTGTGTCCTGTGGGATAAGAGGAGAGGGGACAGCCCTGCCATGGTGTCCCCACAGGTGGGATGAAGGGGCCACTGTGGGTCAGGGAGATGCCAGGGCTGTTTGTAGATGAGAAGCGGGGCAAGGGGAGCGTGGGGTTCATATAGGGGGAGGTTTGGAAGATTATGGGTGCTTTCCCAAAGGAAAAGCTTTGGCTGAGGCAGGATGGGGGTGCTGAGCTGTAGTGATCGGCAGAGTCTTGTAACCCTGATGGGAAGAGAGAATCGGGCTCAGGAGCAGCAGAGGGTTTGGGAGAACACCCGGTGAACTGCCACGTCTCCCGCAGCCATGAATCCCTACATCAACTGCTCCAGCCCTGAGCTCTCCCTGTCCCAGCGAGACTTCCCTATGGAGCCCCCCAGCCCCGACCTCTGCAACAGGACTCACCCTGATGCTTTATTCGACCCCAAAGATGCCAACCTGACGGAGGAGCAGCTGCGACATAAATACTTAGGGCCTCGCAGATCCAACTTCTTCATCCCTGTCTGCGTGATCTACCTGCTGATCTTTGCTGTGGGGGCAGTGGGCAACACACTCACCTGCATCGTCATCCTCCGGCACCGCTTCATGAGGACGCCCACGAATTACTACCTGTTCAGTCTGGCTGTGTCTGACCTGCTGGTGCTGCTGCTGGGGATGCCGCTGGAGCTGTACGACATGTGGAGCAATTACCCCTTCCTGCTGGGGGCTGGGGGCTGTTACTTCAAGACGTTGCTCTTTGAGGCCGTCTGCTTCGCTTCCATCCTCAACGTCACCGCCCTGAGCGTGGAGCGCTACATTGCCGTGGTGCACCCACTCAAAGCTAAGTATGTGGTGACCAGGAACCACGCCAAGAGGGTCATCATCACCATCTGGGTGGTGTCAGTCATCTGCTCCATCCCCAACACCAGCATCCATGGGCTGCAACCTCTCTATGTGCCTGGCCGGGGCCGCGTGCCTGATTCGGAGATTTGCACCCTGGTGAAGCCACGCTTGACCTACAATCTCATTATCCAGATCACCACTATCGTCTTCTTCTTCCTGCCCATGGGGACCATCAGCATCCTCTACCTGCTCATCGGCCTGCAGCTCAAGAAAGAAAAGATGCTGGAGGCCCTGGGAGCCAAGTCCAGTGGTGACAGCGACTATCACAGAGTCCGGGGACAGAAGAAGGTGAAGAGGAGGCAGGTCACGAAGATGCTGTGTGAGTCTGAGACTGGGGACAGGCAAAGCCAATGGGGGTGTTGGAAGGGTGCTGGGAGGAAACTGAGGTCTTGGTCATCCTTGGTCATCCTGGAGGAACACTGTGGGGGCAAAGGCAGAGCTGGTGGCTGTGGTCCAGTGATGGGGTCTGTTTGTGGTGGCTCACCCAGGAGAGCCCTAGGTAAGAAAGGGGAAGGGACAAGGCTGGAGTGGTGGACCTCTCCCTTCCCTAGCCCAGATTCTTGTACCTTACAACCTTGGGGTGTTATGGTTGACTCCAACCCTACTCCATCCCATGACCATGAGGCTCTGACCTGAGGCTTGACCAAAGCACTCCTCTGTCCCACTATTCTCCCTTCCCTGTCCCTTTCCCCAGCAGCCCCTGACTGCCTCCCCAGCATTGGGGCACCAAATATGGTGGCAGAAAAGGGCATCGGGATGTTGAGTCCCATACCCCACTAACAACATCCCCTGGCTCCTCGCAGTTGTGCTGGTGGTGGTGTTTGGGATCTGCTGGGCCCCCTTCCACACCGATCGTCTCGTCTGGAGCTTCATTTCCACCTGGACTGGCCCCATGCTCCACATGTTCCAGTACGTCCACATCATTTCAGGCATCTTCTTCTACCTGAGCTCGGCTGCCAACCCCATCCTCTACAACCTGATGTCCACCCGCTTCCGTGAGATGTTCAAGGAGGTGATGTGCCACCCCGGCCAGCACCCGCCAGGCTCATGCAAGCACTCACCCAGCATCACCCACACCACCACCCGCAGCACTGAGTGTGAGCCCATGCCCAGTGCCAATGGGCTGCCCCTCTCTGATGCTGAGGAGTACGAGATGGAGGAGATGGAGGAGATGGAGGGTGGCCAGGCTGTCACACACGCCACATCCCTCTGCTGAACAGCAAGAGGACATGGAGGAATCAAAACAGCTTCTCCACCGTATCGTCAGCATCACCATCACCACAGCATCCGTCTGCAAGATGGAGGGGAGCAATGGGGCCGTGCATCACCGTGCTGTTCCACCAGGAGCAGGGCTGGTTCTCCAGGTGTGCTGCCAGGCTGCTTGTTTTGGCTGCTCCAGGGACACAGTGACCATCCCTTGCCTCACTATGCCCAGGTTGCATTGCATCATCTGCGCTCAGCACTGGGGCCAGACAAAGCCAGGACATCATGTTGTCACAGGGGCCCCCTCATTCCCACCCTGCATGAGCTGTTCCTCACCCAAGAATCACAGATCAGAGCCATTCTTCCTCAATTCGTGCCTAGTTGCATTCCCTGGGACTCAGACCTGTCCCCAGCACGCAGCCATCTTCCCATGTGCTGACAACTATAATGGGCACCATCCCTTCATTCCCCTCCTGCATATCCCCACATCTTTGTGCAATAAAGTTGCTGGGGAAGGTGATGATGCCCAAAATGTGCCACCAGGCCTTGATGGCTTTCCAGGGTCTTTGCTCACTTGATGCAGGGAAGGTGTGAGTGGGACACACAATGCATGGGGCCGCCCCAGAATGGAGATGATCAATCTGTCCCCAGACATGCTGCTGGGAAAATGTCACAAAATGCCACGGCAGGTGGGCAGGCAGGCTGGCTCCCCCCGGCTGGAGGGGCTGATCGATTTGCTGTCTGGGATCGATGCTGCTGCCATCCTGGTGCGCACAGGATCCTCCCACAGGATGGAATATCAGCACTCCAAAATGCCTCCCCATGGCTATCAGAGCAGGCTGAGCTGCTTCTTACACAACTTTCCCACCCCAATTTTCCCCCAGCCAGGACGTGTGCTCACAAACTCCCTCCTGTGCCCTGCTGACTCAGCCCCAGCTCACAGCCCCTGTCCCATTGGCAAAGCATTTCCATTTGGGGTCCTGTTGTGCAGATGAATGCGGGGCTGCATTAACCTCTGCCCTTCAGGATCCTCTCAGCTGCTCTCCAGATCACATCAACATGGCAAAGAGCATTGATCTCCATTTTCTCCTCTCTCTATCTCCCATTGCTCCTGATCCCAGGCAGCCACGGGTGGAGGTGACGGATGCCTCTTTGATGGCTGTTATTGCCCCGTTATGCCTCACAAGGACACTTCCCCAGCTGGAAACCTCTGGGGAATGGCTTTTTAATTGGCAGGCGATAACATTCTATTGCGCAGCGACAGCAAGTGGAGTCTCAGGTCCATCATGCCCCAGCTTGGGGCAGTGGGGAAATCAGGGGACTAATACCTTTGCCAAGGGACAGCAGAAGGTGACCCCCTTGGGTCATGTCCCCAGCTGTCCCCTGGCACAGTCATGCTCCATGTGTCCCCACCACCTCTTCTTGGCTGCTCAGTTTGCTCTTTGAGATGCAGGAGATGGTGGTGGTGATAGTCCAGCAGTGTGTGTCAGGTGGTGATCCTGGGGCTGTTCAGAGGTTTGTTTTTGATCACCCCAAAGAGAATCTGAGGGCAAATCTCACTCCTCCAGCCACTGTTCTGGGACAGCACATGGGGACAAACCTGTGGCACCATGTCACCATCCCTGCTGGGGGCTTGGCCAAGTGCTTGCACAGATATGTGGCTGGTGCTTCTGCAGGATGAATCAGAGGGATTGCTGCTGCTGGGGGCTAGGCACAGAGGTGATGGTTGGGACAGGCCATGGATGAGTGATGGGGTCAGAGTTTGGGGCTGTGCAGGCACACCCACATCTCCCACCTATGCTATCAGCCATGGATCAGATGTCCCCTGGGGCAGGATGGCCACAGTGCTAGGATGTCCCCAAAACAATGCCTGCAATAGGTTTGCTCTGAACCGAGGGACACATCTCTCTGTCCTCACAGTTCGGAGCACGTGCCTGGCTCAAGCTCTGCACCACCACCTTCTCTCCAAATGGTTCATTTCCCAAGAGCCGCTTCTCAAAAGTTGTCATCTATCCTCTGAGATTTACAGCAGTGCCTTCCCAGCAGCCGATCCCATTGGAACCCGCTGTGGCCAAACCCCACGTGCTCATACCGCGGCACAGCAAATCCCCCTGGCCGTGCAGCACCCCTTGATGGTGCCTCCAATTCAAAGATTTATCACCTTCGCTCGGGGATTAAAAAGAAATCCATCTGTGAGGCTGCCCCAGCCTTGTAAGGCTTTTTGTGCCGGCATTGTTTGCAACGGCCATGGCTTTTTTTCTTTCCTTGACAGAGCCAAAACTCAGTTTTACAGCAGTTTTCCCAGACGGTTGGAGCTGTGATGGATGGCACTGGGAATGCCAGCAGATTCTTCACCACCCCTCCCCAAAAGCCGAGGGAGGGGCTGGTTTTTGCTTGCTTCACATGGCTGTGGGTGGGGGAAAGCTCACGTGGACAGTGTTTGCAAAGCCCTTGTGGCTGGATCTGGGACTAGGGCTGTGCAAATGGAGATGGAGCATCAGTGTCAGAGATGTGCTCGGATCCCATTCCTCCCAGCAGGGCCGTGGGAAGCACAGAGGGACCTCAGATCCCTTCCCCAGCCCTGCAGCAGTGTGCAGGGACAATTGGCCCATGAAGGCCACCAGCAGCCAAGCATCACCTGCACCTATTCCTGCTGCAACATGGTAAGGACAATGGAACTGATGTCCCAGCAGCACCTGCTTTGGTTTATGGGGATAGTTTGGTTAAGAAAGGGAAGTGATGAACAGTTAGCATGGCAGCTAATGGATGAGAGGTGGCATGATGGCATGTGGGGCAGCTGTCTGGGGTCAAGGGGAGTGTTGTCTTCAAGGTAGGGTGGTGATGGTCACCTGGGTGGGGACAAGAGACATGGGTGCTTTGGTCCTCAGTGTGTTTCCTGCCTTCCCCTTGGCCAGTGAATGGCAAAGTAGGTCTGTGACAGGCACGTTGTACCCTCTAAGGCTTGCCCATGGTCTTGCCCATGGACCCCTCCAAGAAAAGTCCATCACAGTCACTGACATTGTTCACGGAGCTCAGGAAGGCCCAGGCAGGATGGAGCACCTTGCATTGTGAAAAGGAAGGCTGTGATGTCCAGACTAGAAGAAGATAAAACTCATCTAATTTTCTATATATTTAGGACAGCCAAGGCACCAAAACCAAGCAGGATCCCGAGAGCTGGCCCTGCTGCCAGGCAGTTATAGCAGCTTTAATTACAGGGCTTCATTTCTCCTTGTGTTCATTGCAGCAGCCAGGGAAGTTTCATCTCCTCCTGTTGGAACAATTGAACGTGACACATTGGAGAAAGCTGTCAGAGAGGCAGAGCAGATTTCTCTCATTATCTTTCCTTTGCTGCCTGTCAGCTGCCAGCACAGCCAGAAAAGCAAAGGGAGAAATGCAAGCCCCAAATGCAAACCCCTTCTCCTGCTTCCCCACTGCTCAGCTCTGTCCCCATGCACAATGACCCCACTAGCACTCGGCCACTCTTAATTTCTCTTGCAATTTCCCTTCTAGTGCTTAGGTTTCCACTGGTTCCTCCTTATGGAGCACCTGTGAGTGCCTTCGGGATGCTCTGCTCCCATGTGCCATCCTCCTACAGCTCGTTTGTTCCTTCAATACATCCTTCAGAGGGTTATGGCTGAAGCACAAAGCTGCACTAACACCACACCACCCACAGCTTGGGGCTCCTGTAACCTCACTTTGCTTTTTCACCACTTTTCTGAGGATGAAGCTCATTTCATTCTCAGAAAGGATTTTCGAGAGGAAACTTCATCCTGAGCTTTCCATCCCAGGACCCAGACCACAAAATATAACTTCCCAAAGCTGTACGTAGCAATAAAATCTGCTAGGATGCCACTTCTTCCACTCGGGATTACTGCTTTTCCAAGGCACAGCGTACCCAGGGAGCCCATTCTCCTGGGTGAGGCAGAAAGTGACAACTGGATATAAATTATATTAGCAGGCCTTTTATTGGACAGATGCTACACGACAGGACTATGGCAAGGGACAGAGAAAGTAATGAAGGCAAACGGTGCAGCGCCGTATGGAGACAAATCAAATAAGGGTCTGACAGCATGGTCTGCACTTGTTTGCTCTGAGGGAATGGCTCACAGCTCAGTGGGACACAACACAGCTGTGCTCAACACCAGGTTTGGGGGCTGACACTACCTCCAGCAGGAAAATCATTGTCTCTGCACGTCTGGTCCCAGGGGGCATCTCGGTCCCAAATCTGTGTCCCAGGCTGGTTCTCTTTGCTCCAGCCATGGGTTTTGGGGGTTCATTCATGAGATGACTATGGGGACATCCCCTGGGGAACACCAGCCAATGCTGGGCTCACAGGGCCAAGTGCCACCAGGCCACTTCCACGTCCTCTACTGCTTTCTGCCACACTGGTTCCTGGCAGAGCACTTTCTCTAGGGGTGGCCCTTTGCTTTTCCGGGTCCCTATTCCTCCACCTAAGCAGCATTTTTGCCACAAACAGAGCTGCTAAACCTGTTTTGGCCACATTACTCCACGCTGATGCTGCAGATGGCTGCAGCCCTGCCTTGGCCCTGAGGCTCCCTCTGAGCTGTGCTGCAGAGCTAACATGTGGCTTTGGTGCACGCTGGGCACTCAGGGGTGCTCCTGCAGCATGTGGAGGGTGGGAGTCTGAGTGATCATATTCCACACATGCGTGTGACAGACACAGTGATGCTAGCAGTGTCCCCCTGTCCTAGCTCCATTCCTCCCTATGATGTCAGTCTGTCTGCAAGCTTGCAAGAGGATCCCGGGTCCCCCTGAGGTTCCAGGGGTGCTTCCTCACACCATGCATGACTTCATTCATTCAGCCCCCACCTCTTTTCTTCAGATTTTCTCCCCCAGGTGAGGGGCTTTTCTCCAGCAGCCTTGGAAAGGCAGAGGGAATACGGGGGTGAGCCTGGAGCCGGGGGACAGGGCTGGACTCCAGTAATACCATAACGGAGGGGGGAGGGGTGGGGGGGGCAGCGCCATGGGCTGCCCGGGACCATTTACACCCAATACTGCATGCACTGAAATAAAACCCCACAGGAATATTATCTCCCACTGAACAAAATTCAGCGTCATCCATCGTGTGGACACAGTTTATTTTTCTCCAAGGATAGGAGTGCAGCTGAGAGGGTCCTTCCAAGTCAAGCATCACGCCGGCTGTTCTTCACTCCCCTGCTCCAGGACTCACACTATAGTGCTGCCGCAGCGCCGCAGAAGAGGGGTCGGTGCCGGAGTGGGCGGTTAATACCGAGGCTGAGGGGCACGGGCTGAACAAGGCAGATCCCGACCCCATAGTTTAGGAACTCCTGACCCCAACCCCATAATTTAGGAGCTCCCGAATAAAACAGCAACCCCGGCTGCCCCCCCTTCCGGTGCCTGACCAGCCTGAGAACCGGCTCCGAGCTCCGTCAGGACCACCGAACCCTTCCGGTGCCCCTACGCGCCCCCGGCGCCCCCTGCCCAGCCCCACCACGTGGCCCGCTGCCCGCCACGTGCTCTCCCGCGGCCCCGGACACGCCCGCTCTCCGCTAAGAGCTCCCTCCAATCAGAGCGCAGGCATCGAGCTGCCGCCTTCTCATTGGTCGTCCTACTTTCTCGAGGGCGGGCGTTAGGACCCCAAGTTCTCGTCCCACGTCTCGCGGGCTTTCCACTAGCCGCCCGCTGTAACGCGCTCTCCCGTTGGTTGATGACAAAGCCACGTCGATTGGCGAGCGGGCTCGAGGGGCGGAAGCGACGATTGGCCGCGCAGCGCGGCGCGAGCGCCGATTGGACGGAGCGGGGGCGGAGTGGGCGGGGCGAAACCGAGGGCTAGGCAAGCCAGCGGAAGGGCCGTTCGCTCGCTCTTTCGTTTCAATCCCCGGTCTGCATCGGCAGCGCCGCGCCGCCGCTCCCGGGGCCCGCTCCGTTCCCCGCCGCCACCCCCTAGGGACGCGCACGCCCACCCCCCGAAGCAGTTCGGCCGCCGCCCCAGCGCCGCCAGGCACCGCCGCCAT